CGATGGGGGCTCCCCAGGGGAAAGGAGACTTATGTGCCAAATCGCATACACAGAGGTGGCCGAATTCTGACAACAGTCGAAATGCAAGAGACAGAAGGCTGGCCGGTGAAGGTGGCTCAGGGCGTCAACTGATGTCACAGCAGTGCCTCTGGATGAGAGGTCGTAGGTTTCTAGTCCCGGCGGTGACAGGATTTTCGGTACTATATACATAGCGAGGTCGAATACAGCTGTTGTCTGAAGAAGAAGCAACTGGCTGCTCTGATTGGTTTTCCGGGGTTTCTACCGGTCAATACCAGGCGAACGCCGGAGTAGTCCGCTAGCAAATGGACCACGGACCGTGCAGACGAGAGTGCGAGTGCTCGGTGGCGCTGGGGTCACTTCCGATGGGGGATCGCCAGGGGAGGGGGGACTACGTGCCAAATAGCATACACAGAGGTGGACGAATTATTACAACAGACTTAACAGACCGGTGAAGGCGGCTCAGGGTGTCAACTGATGTCATAGCAGTGCCTCCGGCTGGCAGGTACTAGGTTCGAGCCCCGACGGTGACAAAATGTTCCATACTATCTACACAGCGAGGTCGAATTCAGCCGCTGTCTGAAGAAGTCACAACTGGCTGCTCTGATTTATAGTTCTCCGTGATTTCTCCGGTTAATACCAGGCGAACGCCGGAGTAGTACGCTAACAAATGGACCATGGACCACGAAACGAAAGTGCGAGTGCTCGGTGGCCCTGGGGTCACGTCCGATGCGGGCTCCCCAGGGGAAGGGGAACTATTTGCCAAATAGCATACACAGAGGTGGCCGAATTCTTATAACAGAATCCAAGAGACCGAAGGCTGACCGGTGAAGGTGGCTCAGGGCGTCAACTGACGTCCCAGCAGTGCCTCCGGCTGGCAGGTCCTAGGTTTCGAGCCCCGACGGTGACAGGATTTTCAATACTAGCTACAGTGTGGTCGAATTTAGCCACTGTCTGGAGAAGACGAATTATTGAAACAGACTTAATGCAAGAGACAGAAGGCTGATCGGTGAAGGTCTAAGGGTGTCAACTGATGTCTCAGCAGTGCCTTTGACAAGGAGGTCCTAGTTTTCGAGTCCCGACGGTGAAATGATTTTCGATTACAGCTCCATAACGAGTTCGAATTCGAATCCGCTTTCTGGATAAGGCAAAAGAGGGTATTGAAGTTGAAAACATGTAATATTGTAAAAATGTAAAATTGAAATATTGAGAATATTATTGAAAAAACAACAAAATCAACATGACCAAACACCCGGGTGCACTTAAGTAAAATAAAAATTATTCATTCTTATAATTTGGCCTTACTCTGTATAGAGTAAGTTCTTTTGAAGTACGTCATAACGACTAGCTGGGATTAGCCAACCCGATATATTGTGAACAGCGACAGTGCGCGTGGATGGCTCTGTTGCGCAAGCGGAATATCTCCTGTTATGTGTCTCGCACTAATTTTTCTTTATTTTACCTCGTGCAGAGCTTAGATATCTTACGCGAAATCTACTGATTAAACTACCATGCACCTCAAATCTGAATGGAATGTTCTCCGATTTATTTAGGTCTTCGAATATGCGGTTGAAGATATTCATTCAGAATTGCCGAGTACATGTCTGAATGAGGTCAACAGAGATCTGGCCAATGTTCCATAATATTGAGGTCAACTTTGCAATTTCAAACAAATTTTACAAATGTATTCATATTAGCCCTAACGGACCTAGAAAATCGAATCTAGTAATTTGTACAGTGGGGTATAAGATTTTACTAAATGTAGTAGACTTTACGAACCTTGAACACGCAAGTAATAAAAAAAATACGAAAATTTTTGTTAAAGTTTCTTTGTGTATATCAACTGTTCAAATAAAATTGTGATAAAAAATAAACACCGTAAATAGAAAGTAAGTCATATTTACGTTTTGAAAAGAAAATCCTTGTTAAAACGAAAGGAAATACGACACGAAAAACAGGTAATGCCCATTATTATTTTCCTTCTTTTGTATTGCTAGGAATAACACAATAGTTAATTTGCTTTTTGACTAGTACAAAATATTAACAAATGGTTCTTGCGTCACAATCGACTACGTTTCTATGCAATGAATAACAGATGTCCTCGCGTTCTTGACGAGTCGCCTACTCTAGTTGGATCTCAAGGATCCCGAGGAAGATCCAGATGGCCGTGGATGTGGGCAACCCGCACAGGCGACCCTGCGGCACGCCAAGTCCTCTGCGAGACAATGGCCTGATGCAGCGCCGACGTACGAAACGAGCAGGCGCACAGTGGGTGGAAACAGTGTTTTGTGTTTTAGAGGACAACGAGCCACTCTATTTTCTTTGTTATTTCACTCCCTGTGTCTTTCACACATGTACACGCTCCAGCACACACACACTACTTTTGAACTGTCAATACCTTTCTCTGTTGTGTCAGGTCGTCTTTTTGTCTGTCGCGCCTTTTCTTTCATTCTCTTCTCCATCTATCTCCTTTTGTCTTTCTTTCTTTCTGTTTTTCTCAAACACACCTTGTCTCGGAATCTCTCAGTTTGTCTGTCTCTGAAACTCTCTCTCTCTCTTTCTTCTTCTCCTCCTCCACCTGTCCTCTTGTACTCTCTCACACATATCGCCAGTTCTGCACTTCTATATGTTTATAACTATTGTTAGAACTTTGCATTCTTTTGCATCCGTCAGATTATTTGTTGATTTCTTCCTTTGCCATTTTTTAACTTCCTGGTTTCTGAATCCTTCTCTCCTCTCTTTCTTTCTCTCTCTCCATCTCTTTCTTTCTCCTCTCCTGTCTATCTCTCTCTCTCTCTCTCTGTGCCTGAGTCTCTTTTTCTCTCTTCACCTGTCACTTTATCTGTTTGTATTTTTGAGACATTCTGTGCCTGAGACTATGTTTCTCTCTCTTTGCCCGTTAGTCTCCCCGTGAGCCGAGTCTCTCTCTATTAACTGCGTGTCTCTGGGTTTCGTAGGTTTCCGCCGCCGGTGTCATTTGACACTTGGCTGACCGGGATGAGTCGCGTCACAGTCGGTCGATTTGACGCTTCGGCCATCATGTTGTGGCCTTCTTCGGAGCTACTATTTGTCTCTTTTTGTTTCACTCTATTTTCCG